CATCACTTATTGCAGAGTCTAGAGAAGCAACCAGTGTGTCATTAGGGCCAATCTCTTGGGGGTCAACATCAATTGTCATGGCCTGAGGATGTGGACAATATTCTTTAATCTTTTGTCCTACCACAAATAAGCTTGACAGAACTGGAATGACCCGGTCGTTCCAGCTCATGGTGAAGGCTTCACTACGTCAAGGGGAGATGATTGAAGGAAGCTCCCTGCTGCTCTAAGAACATGGGATAGCTCTGCCACATCTTGCCACTCAACACACATTTTCCATGCCATTGCCCAGCAGTTTTGTGATGCTGTGATGTGGACTGAATTGTGTGCCTCTGTGTCTAGTTAATGGTTGCCCTCATTTCCACCTAAATGTGGAAGGATGCCACATCAAATCAGGGAAAAATGTTTGTTTCCCCCAGATAACCCCATGCCTCCGATGATGCCGACTGCAGAATACATTCCTTCATAAGCAGTTCTTTGTTTTGAAAGTAGACAGATTCAGAATGGAATGGCTTGAACATGAACTAGGATGGAGTCCAGATCTTAGTCTCATAATGAGCACGGCAGCTCTGGCTTGCTCTCAGATCCTGATTTGAAATGGACTGATTTTAAAAACATGCAGAGCTTTAACTAAGGAATGGTAATCTTTCTTCTCTTACTACTTCTTTTTTTACCATGAAGTCATAAAATTGAAGAGATGAGAAAAAGAACAAATGTCATCTGGTCCACCTTAATCAACACAGGAATTCACTGCTAAAGCATCCCTGACAGATCCAAATTGTGTTGAAAAACCTCAAAGGATGTCCACCATTTTTTAAGGCAGTCCATTCCACTTTTGAAGACCTCATTCCACCAGGAAGTTTCTCTTGATGTTTATTTGGGATACCCTTTTCTGCAATTTGAATGGGATTTTTTAATCCTAGGATGCATCTACATTGTAGAATTAATGCAGTTTGATTCCACTTTAACTGTCATGGCTCAACACCATGGAATCATTGTAGTTGTAATTTGATGAGACATCTCACTCTTTGGCAGAGAAGGTTAAAGATTTTGTCAAACTATGACTCCAGTAGTTGCACTAAGATGACAGTGAAGGTGCACCCCGAGTCTCTGGAGCAACACAGACCAAGCTTGCTCCGTCTTCCATGAAGCAGCTCTTCAGATAACCATCCTTTTTAATCTTCTTTTCTCCAGGCTAAGCATATGCAACTGTCTCAAATATTCCTCGGAAGGCTTAATTCTTTCACTTTTTTTTCTTATGGACATGTTCCAACTTCCCAATGCCCATAAATTGTGGTGCACTAAACTAAGCACAGTACTCCTGCTGACAACAACAAACTAGAATACTATTACTGCCAATGCTCCACATTTGTAGATTTTACTTTTGCAAATTTCTGGAATTGATTAAAATGTTCTCTCTAGATATCTCTAGGTCCTCGAGTGAAACTTTATAGTCGTCTTCTTCCAGAGGTTGACAATAGAATCATGCTGGAGGACCTAGAGATTCCTAAAGAAGTTTTCTCTCAGGTAAAAAAAAGAAAAAAGAAAAAGCATTTTCATTTAGTTTCCCCACTTTTAAGGCTATACTGCACCAGTGAATGTGGAAGCGTCTTATTATTATTTATTATTGTTTACAGTATTTATACCCCACCCTTCTCACCCAAAGGGGACTCAGAGCAGCTTACAAAACACACAAATGACAAACATGCAAAGGCGATTATGCAATTAACAAGGACAGACAACACAAACAGAGGTAAAGGAGTTTTTCCCATCTTATTTCTGGCACCTTGGATGCTGTGCTCACTTCCTGCCATGGGGGGGGGGGGTGCTGTCGCTCCATCTTCCATGCCAAGGAGCTTTCCTTTGATTGATGCCCTTAAGAGCATTTCTGCTTTCAACCTGCTAAGTGGGCAGGTGAGGTCGAACTGCAGAGTCTTGCTTTATTATAAATTCATAGTGGAAAACATCAAAAGTAAGAAAACAAACATCTTGCATCAGATATCAGACCCTAAACAAAACATTTAGAGTCCCAAACTCCAAAACGCCATAGCTTCTCCAAAAGCTCAAGGCTATAGCAATAGCAGAACGCTGAGGGACGCTGAAAGCTGCTGAAGGCTGCTGCTGGCTGCAGGCAGATGCAACACATTATAACCACAGTAATTAGATCCACCTGCACCCAATTAACCAAAACCACATCACAAGCATTTCAGCAATTAAAGATACAAACTTACTTATACATACATAACCCAAATACATACAATGAACAGATAAAATTTTGCACATTTTTACAGTTCTCCTGACATTCCAATTGACAGGATTTTTCTGCAGCACAACAGTTTAACCTGCTGTGCTAAACCCAACCTCTTTATAATCTTAATCTAGTAGGTGTTATTCATCCAATATTTATGCATCTCATTTTTCTTGCCTAAATGTTGCATCTTGCCTTTATCCCCATTGAAATTCATTGTTAGTTTTAGCTCCTTTACCCAATCTGTTGTGATTATCTTGAATACGTATTAGTTATGCCTCTCAGTTTGGCATCACTCTCTATTCCAGTATCCATGAACACTATTCCAATCTCTTGTGAGCCCAGGACAGACCCTTCTGGCTTTATTTTATGAAATATATAGAATATAGAACTGTCTTCCACATAGAAGAACTCAGCCAGAAGATTTCCCATGGGGAAAAACGATCAAAATGTGAAACAAACATGAAAAACAATACCTTTGGGTCAAATGTACAAAGTGACTTTGTAGTATCTTTTGAAACTGGAAGAAGGATATAGCCTAAGCGTAGCTACAATCTCCATGTACAAATTCATGAGCTCTATCTACAAAATCTTATGCTACAGATTTATTTCCCTCAGTCTAAATGGTACTTTAGGTCCCTTTGTTTACTGGTAGGGATAAATACAGATTTGAAGATTGGGTCAAGTCTGTACATTTCGCAATGCTCTTCTTCCCTTCCATACTTTGGCTTTTTTAAAATGTTTTTTTTTTCTCAAACATTTCTAGCCTTTCAGCTTTGAGCATACATGATACTGTCCTGCCCTGCTTCCCTCTACTGCTTATCACAAAGACAATTATGGGGTTTTCTGCGCAATTGTGAAATAACAAAGAAACCAAGTTTGAATTCTTTGTTTGCCTCATTGCCTTGTTTTCTGCTGGAAGCAACAGTGAAAGAAATATTCCCAAATGCAGAAATGAATCAATAAATGCTATTTTGAAAGATAGTGAGATATCTGAGAATGTTCCTTCCTCGGGCATATAGGGGATAATTTGTGCGGGAGGATGCTTCTATTTCGGGATCCATCCATGGTGGATCTCCATTAAGTAGAAAAACAAGCAACCCTTCCCCACACCACTGGTTTGGTCTAACATTTTGATCATTTACCAACATATGAATAATGAACAATTTGCTGGTATGCAGTAGCTGTATTTTCACAAAGGAAGCAAAAACTGGGGAACACCCAGAAACTGTCTCAAGATGCTCAAAAGAAAAAGCCCAATGATGTTCACCCCCTACATGCTCTTAAGAATTTCTTCAAGAACTATATAGAATCCATACCTATTTAGAATCGACAGTTCTCTAGATCAGGGATTCTCAAATGAATTATCAGATAAATGAACACAGGTGAATAAAAACTGAAGGTTTTGTTTTGTGTTGTAAGCAAATGGTTGATATATATAATATTCAAGGACACATGAATGTACCTAGTCTGAAGGGAAAGAGACCATCAGATTTTACAAGAGTGTGAGGTTAACACTCTCATTCAGGCTTCTAGGGGCCAACGATTTGGGGCCACTCCACCTCCTTTGGAACAGATTTTTGCATCAATAGCATTCACTTTCTCTGAGATCTGTTGAGAAATAATGCTGTCCCACAAAATGACTCGGGACCTTATCATACACACCAGAGGAAATGCGTTAAGTAGGCAACCTGTGGTTAAAGAAGGCTAGATGCATACCGGATACATACCCAACCCATCACACCCTTTTCTCTTTTCTATATCAAATATAATGTGTGTTTAAATTAAAGCCAAGGGAAGTCAATTGTTTTGTTTTATGAAAGGTATTGGCAGCAGGTTCTTTGCCTACTGGTGCCTATGGACTACTTTCAAAATGGACCTTGCATCATGTGATAGGACCCATAGGAACCTTTAAGCAAAGGGTGTTAGAGATGAGTTGTAAGACTGTGAATAAGGTCTAGTAAAGGAGCACCTAATTTATTCTTCCTGAAATTACAAGTGTTCCCCTGTTTCCTGTTACTATTATAAAACCATTTGAAAGTTTCCTTTTGAAGTTTTAAAAATTAGATCCTAAATAGGCAGGTACAGGACATAGGCAATGTACTGTTATAATCATGCTATGTAACATTGTCATATTACTGTATGTATTTGCATGTTGTCCTTTCATAATCTTATACACCCCCTGAAGAAAGTATAGTGAGCGTTCTCATGCCAAAACTATTTGACTATTTTACCAACAAAGAAAGCAATTTTGAGAAACCCAAAACATGGGATGCAAATTTGGATTCTGAGGCATGCGAGATGTGCAAAGTATTGATGAGCTACATTTCCCAAACTTGGTCACTGGATGCACATTGAGGAGAAAGCCTTTCCTCGATTAGTCAAATTTCAAAACTACCTTCAAGTAAGACAGTTGTCATCTCTACAAGTTACTTTGATGGCATCAGTTTCTTCACAAGTATTCTGCTAGCAGGTTAATGTGAAGACAGTTGCATCAAAATTATCAAGGATATGATGTCCAACTCCACCAGAAAAGGGCAAGTCATTCATAAAGTCACTGTAAGGCAGGTACCAGCCATGTAGATCTGTTGTTCACACCATGTGGCAAGGTGACTTCTACCATCTCAGAAGAGTCTAATCAGGAGCTGTAGACAATCAACTCTCAGAGAGGTTGCAGTCTCTGTATTGCACATTTTGAAAGTGGCCAAATAGCACCAAGAGCTGTCCTTATGTGCTAAATAAATATACAAAATAGTTGCTTTAAAAATATTTTATTTTTTAGAAAATACAGCATTCAGTACAGTGTGCCCTGCCTTTCACATAATCACCAAATCCACATCGTCATCCAGCCCAGTCAGGAATGTGCATCTTGTACTTTCTCCAAACCTGCTGTTCATTAAAGTTTTGGGACACTGTTAGTGTGGAAAACGACCCTGTTAGTGTGCAGCCGGTGTCTTGCTTATTGTGGTGGCAAGTGAAACTCAATGATAGAATGAAGGACTCTTTGTTTTTATCATCTTGTCAATTAGTCTTTCTGACACAACTGCTAAATATCTACAATCTGCTAGAGCTTTGTCTGGACTAAACATATCACAGCTTCCTCTGAGGATGTGCAAGAATTTCCTAATTTTGTTCATTGATAATTCCATTGATTCAACGCTATAAGCCTAGGGCTCTTGCAACACCACATGAGGGCTACTACAAAATGGCCCCTGTCATCTATATAAAACTCAAACCATCTAGATCAAGTAAATTCCAAGTATGAATATGGTGAATGCTCCAGAAATCACCCCAGCCTTAGAATATTATGTGACCTTAGGACAGCCTAATACAATAATGTCAAACCACTTAAGAGTGGGAAAGACCAGCTCTTCTGGTTTAGTACTAGGCAGAGAAAATTGTGATGCTAGATTGCTAGATAATAGTCAGTTCCAATACAATCAAAATCAGTGTTTCAGGATGGGGAGCTGTTTTCACAGGCAGACAGTGAATATTCAGATCTCCCACACTCCAAGTAACATTCCTTGTTGTTTTTGTGACCTGTTCCTAATGTTCAGCAAATGTGTTTCTGGTGGTCCACAGAGTAACTGGGAGCAGGGAGGGTTTTTCTATTCCCGTTTTGATGGGGACTGGGGAAGAGTAGCCTGGGGACAAGGGGGTCTTTATGGAGCTGTCAGACCACTGATCTTCATCCTGTAAGGCTGGTTTTAAATGGTGGCATCTGGGTGATCTGCCACAAAAGGCAACCAGCCAGATATTCTCTGCAAGGCATAATGCAGGCACCAGCGATGGACACAGATATAGGTGGAAACAAAAGATGGTGAGAGGACAAACAGCAGTCCTGTAATCTCTCTGAAAGACTGAGATTTGGCTCTTGGCGGCAGGTCACTGAAAAGAAAAGGAGAAAACAAGAAGGGTGGTGCTGAGATGCAGAGGCTAAACATCATCTCTGTCCTTACTTTAAGTTTTGATAGATCCTTAAATTACAACTGATCATGAAGTTGATGTACTCATGGGAAGACGAGACCAACATTATGTTCTGTTTTCATACAACAAAAAAGAAATGATTTAGACCAGTTTGACAGCATTCAAACCCTTAATTGAAAAAGAGATACAGTTTAGAGTCTGTATCCTACGCAATTTCTTTTGGATTATGTCTGTGCCTTCAAGTACCAATCGATTGACAGTGACCCCATCAATTTCATATGGCTTTCTTAGGCAAGGAATACTCAGAAATGGTTTAACCACTTCCTTCCTCTGAAATATAGCCTACAGCATTGGTATCCATTGGTGGTCTTCCATCCAAGCACTAATCAAAGTTGACCTTGCTTAGCTTCCAAGGTGAGATGGAGATAATAAAGTACTGTTATCTAATTCACATGCAGCAACAGATTGCCATGTTAGAGGACAGACCAACAGTGATTATTACAGACACACTCACAAACAGGAGTGGGAAAACTTTGGCATGCCAAGTGTAGCTGGACTACAAGCCTCGTGAGACCTAACCAGCAGAGCAAACAATAAGGGATCACAGGAGTTGTAATCCAAGTTTCCCACCCTTGTTTTGAATGAGCAAAGAAATCCTGTTAATAGGGAGAAAAATATGGACCAGGAGATTTTAGAGGTTACTGTAACCATGAGGTCTTTAAGTTAAAAAATAACTAAAACACACAGCACCACTACTGTCATGGCCCATAGATTGTTTCATTATACCTATTTGAATCTCAACTTTATCTATTCAAGAATAATGCTGGTTAGAGCCAAATTTGGACTGTACTCTGTTCTCTCCATGCACCAAATACTGGAACCAAGAACTGAACCATTTCAAAAGCATGGTGAAGAAAGTCCAAAATATAAGATAAACCACTCGAAATAGTAAAATAGGGTGAGTATGCAATCTCAGAATCTGAGAAGAGCTGAAACTTACATTTCTGTTCTGTTCTGATTTGTCTGTTTTGTTTTTAGAATGGTCTACTGCATAACTCTTTGAACCCGATCTTGGAAGTTATTTCTTTAAGACTGAAACTCCTCAAGTCTCCAAGTATTCTGGAAGTTATTGCTGGCTCCCATACATTCGCCAACCTCTGTTGTTCTTCAATTCAAGTCCCTGCTGCTTGCATTACAAAGATGAACAAGCTACAGGAAATACAGATTCTTTCACTGGCAAACCACCTCAACATTTTGCTACTTCGATTATCTGGTTCTATTGCAGCCTTCAAAAAACAAAATGCACTAACATTTTAAAAGAGAGCCAGTGTGATGAAGAACAAGGAAATTAGGGTTCGAATTCCCTCTCAGTCATGGAGGTCCATTGTGCAACCTTGGACAAGTTACACTCCTACAGCCCTAGAGGAAGGTAAGGGCAAACCACCTCTGCACAAATTCTGTCAAGAAAATCCTGCTATAAGTTCACTTTAGAGCAGTGGTTCTCAACTTGCGGGGTCCTCAGATGTTTTGGCCTTCAACTCCCAGAAATCCTAACAATTGGTAAACTGACTGGGATTTCTGGGAGTTGTAGGCCAAAACACCTGGGGACCCACAGGTTGAAACCCCCTGATTTAGTCTCCATAAATGTAGAAGTACTTGAAGACATGCGACAACAAATTTTTTTAAAGAGGCGAGGGCAAATGACAAACCAAAATGCTAAGTCATCAAACTAACACTACTTCACTGATTCTTATCCATCAAACAAGGCTTGTGACTTCAGGGTGATTTTTTTCCTTTTCCCTTTTGCATGAGATTAAACAAACCCCAGAAAATTAAGAAGAATTAAGAAGCTCTTCTATGAGTCAGAAGTTGAATTTTAATCAAACACAATTGATTGCATGAACCTCCTAAAAATAACACATTTCTCTCACTGATTTTCAGGTATTCCTAAATTAATCAAATTTGTGGCCAGAGCCTTGTGGGAGCTTGGGTCAGCGCCTGCTCCTTTGCTTGCCTTCAGAGCTGACTGACTGCTCCCCTCACTTTGGAACTCATTGTGCAAGCCACTCTCTTCCTTCCACCTGCCTGAAATGGATTTACAACAACCATTTCCAGTAAACAACATCTATCTTAGGGAATGAACCACCCTGTGGGCAAAGTACACTCCACATGGAACACAGCTCAATCTGTGATCAGTGATCTGTGAAAGTGCCAGCACTCCCTTGGCTGGGCAAAGCTCTATTGTAGAGCTACAATATATGTACCGTTACGCACTGGCGTTAGTGCAGTGCTGGAATGACAGAAAATATGGCTGTGTGTAGTGACCGACACCTGAGCAAACATCTCAGTTGGCCAAGGAACCAGATGGCTTTATAGTGTTCACAGAAAGTCCCCATTGGAGGCACTAATTGGAACCACCTAGCTTGCAAACAGCCTGTTCAGGCCCTTATTTTCTCAGTAAAGTCAGACAAAAATCTCAGGATGTTCATGGAATATCAGGCTGAAAGTTGGTAGGGCCATTCTGGATTAGCCAACTTTCTCTATACAAGTGGTTATGAAAAAGATGTATTAGGGATGATGTGAAAACAACTGGAGCCTTGATCTTTGTTAAGTCAAAGAGATGCCAACAGGACAGAGATTGACACTGGTTCCTAAGCACCCCTTGTCTTCTCTTCTCGTGTGACCATGGCACTAACCACTGAGCCATCCAAGCAAAGCATGGGGTAGGAGGGGTATCACACCAGAATTAACCAACTGGTCTGCAATGCATAGCTTTATAAAAAGGAGTAAGTGGGACAACAGGACAACTTCTTTAACAAGCAATCTTGGCTCCTTCTAAGAATCAGTGGTGGTAGCTCATAATTTTGCCATAAACAAGGCTAGACAGGAAGCACTGAAACGGGATGTTAAGACAATTCACCAATGAAATGAGTGCAGTTCTCAGGAGTCCATCAAGGGAGGGAGCAGCAATATTGCACCCAAACAAGACACTTCTTTCTTTCTGAATAAACCCCACTACCCACTGCAGCCCCTTCTCCAGAAAATCCACAGGCTCAAGCTAAACAAAACAGAACACAATTAAAAGTGCGAGGAAGGTGGAGTAGAAACAGAGCTGCCACGTTTATATCTGGAACATACCCTCTCTAATTAAGTCTCAAAAGTATATAAGCTTCCGAGCAAACAAACCTGTCTCAGCAAGGGAATGGAATTAATGATAGTGAGATACCGAAGAGCACGCATAATGTTGTGATGTTTTCCCTCTATTTTTCCTGTGATTGAGAAGGAGCAACCCAAGACATAAAATAATATGTATGGGATTTACAGGAAGGAAGGAAGGAAAGTGGGCGGTGGTTGGTTCTTGCTCTTCACATGTAAGCAACTTCCTCAGACAAATAAAAAATGGCAGCAAGGATCCCAAGCAAGCCAGGTCACAATGTAATTTCAAACTAGAACAATTAGGGTTCCCCTTCCTACACACCCTCCCCCAGAATTTACACAACAACAGGGCAAAAGGGAAGAGAAGACATGGCAGCTATCCCTCATTGCCCCCACATTTTGCCCCAGCTCCATGAAATCAGATGGACAGGACCCTGAAAGAAGAGGTGGAGGGGAAAAGGCTCTGGAGTTCAATGGACAGGCTCAGAAACCAAGGTTGGTTGGAGCTGCAATTCTGGAAGCTGGTAGAAACTTCACAGCCCATTTTCCTGACCCCTGTCCTTCTGTCCATTGGGATTTAACTTTCTTCGCCATTCTCGCCTGGTCCTTTGATAAGTCGCTTCTGTCCCCTTTTCCCCACAGGCCCCTTGGGCTTGGCAAAGGCTTGTTTGAAGGCGTGTTGCTTGGGGTGGACTTCATCATACAAGAACTCTGCCGTCAGCTCAGCTCCATCATCAATTTCAATCTGGGATCAAGAAAGGAGTGAAACACAGTCATGGAGACATCTGGGCATCAAAGGGTGAGAACTCTACTTTAGAACTTCTGCCTGGGGCCAGCATCTCCAAATATCTTGGGCATGGCCCCCAAAGCTGTGCAATCTCACCTGAAGGGCTAATAAGGAGGAAGTGATAAGGAGGACAGGAGACTTTGGCTCCTCCAGAGTGGAAGATGCAGCCTACAGACCAACTCTTCTCTGCGGCAGGTACACCTCGCTCCAAACCACCCACCCAAACCATCCTCAGTCTACTGGCAAGTGATAGCTTACACCTGACATGACACCACAACTGATAAAATCTATGTTCTTCTGGACTTTTACCAAACAGATCAGTAGCCTACTGCCATCATCAGATAAGACTCTCTCCTCAAGGACCTCACATCACATTTACCATCCCCCAAAAAGGCCCAGGATGTTTTTACCCTCCCCATTCTGTATTCAATCTGTACCTAAAGAACTTTGTGTCTTGTGGGGTTGGGGATGGGGGTAGCATGGAGTGTATAAAAAGAAGGGCTGAAACACTAGAGAGAGAGAGATGGGAAGTGGGGGGGGGGGGAGAGAGAAGGGTTCTATGTTAATTGCAGCAATAATATGTTTCATGCTTCTGTCTATGTTTGATGTTTTTATAGTTTTAATGGTTTTAATCTACAGTCACATGTTATTCATTTAGATATGTGATATTTTTATATATATATATGTGAGGCATAGAATTTGCCGTTTATTATGTTGTAAACTGCTTTGAGTCCCCCCAGGGGTGAGAAGAGTGGTATAGAAATGCAGTTACTAAATAAAGAATAAATAAATATCAGCAGAGGCATGCACCTTTTCCTATCACAGAGACACTTGCAGTTCCTCATCTTGTCTTTTTCTGATGCCTCCTCTCCCATTAATGCTATTTCTAAGATCTGAGCATTCCAAGTGAGTTTCACTGAGGCTTATCATCTTCTCCTCATTTTTGAGATTGTCCATTCATTTGAAATTGTTCTTGACGTTTGATTCCACCTTTGCGTTGGGTAGCCCTGTTTCTCTCCAGTTTCCAGCAAACTGAAAACGTCTGGATCTCTTCTCTGAACAATCTTTGCTAAGATCCACCTATGTTCAGGTACTATCACTTTGCTCCTTCACACCACTCAGAACCTATAGGTCTAAATAATATTGACAATCCAAACTGCAGGAATGGGAAAACCCTTTGTGTTGACTCTTAATGCAACAGCCAATACAAGCCTTAGTGACCAGCAAGAAGGAGCAGGATTTCCTGCTTCAAACTAAGCTTCAGGAGCAAGAGATCACCACTTACCTTCTTTGCAATCTCTAGGCAGAAATCTTGCTCCACTGTGTCAAGCAGCCGGCTTTTGCAGCTGGAGTAAAGCATGCGCTCCTTGATGCTACATTTGTAACCAGGCATCGAGTAGATAAACACTGCAAGGAAATGGAAAATGGATCAGCCATCCCAGGGATCCAGGAACATTAATTCCTCAAACCTAGGGTGAAGGTGCAGGGAATGACTGCCAGGTGCACAACAAGGAGATAGATTTTAGAGAAGGCAGAACACAAAGAGTGAGCAAAATTTTTGAAATACAACTGTATTTCAGTTGCCCATGGTTCCAAAAACACCAGGTTTGGCAAACATGAATTAGCAGAAATGAAATCAAAAATGCCTTCTCAGATCCACATATTCCAAGTGAAGCAAACCTGCACAGGTGTCAGCACACTGGTATGTATGAGTAACATGATCCCTGTAGCTATGTGATCAATACCTGTAATTTCACCTTCCTGCACCCAACAAGATATGCCCTCTTTAGGAATTTTCTTGGTCATCCAGTGTGACTTTATGACAACTTCCAGTGGAAGTCATACATTTCAATAGGATTGACTACTACACTATGTAACAAAATTGAAATATTTTTGTTCCTGGTTTGAAAGCATTATTTCAATTTTAATTGTTTAGTTGTGTAGTACCTCGTTTGAAAGTAGTCATTATATGCTAGAAACTACGTTTTTGTGGCTGGCACAAACTATGTTGAAGTGGCTGAAACCCAATGCGATATTCATTGAAAAACTATACCAAAATGTGCTGCAGGACGTCCCGCCAAAACAAAGATTTTGCAGTTCAATAAACTTTTTCCATGTTTATATGATGGAACCAATTAGGAAGTGACATTTATAACCCAGGAACAAAAATCATGTTACATAGTGTTATCCACAGTTTTCTATTTCCATGGTAATTTCAGGATTACAACTTATGCAGATATAGGGGGTTATATTGTACTCAGAGAATATATTTCTCTGCACATCTCACAGAGGCACAGGTACTTTTACAATGTTTGCAAAGGCTCAAAGCAATTCTAGCCTCCATTCCTCCTTTCCTCTCAATCTCTCTTTCTCTGTTTGAAAGAAGACAAGGCTGTCCAGAGCTTACCCACTGACTCCAGGTAATCGCCTTCATGAGAATGCTTATACAGAAAAAAGTGATAACGGGCAGAATCCTGTGGAATTCTTTTCGGCAGTTCTGCGATCTCAGTGGCATTTGTATGGACCAATTCTATAGTTTCCCGTTCCAGGTCTAGTTTCTGTTTAAACAAAGACAAAAAAGGCATACTTTCACAACAACATTTGGGTAAGCTACAGTGATATAAAGGACGCAACTCAGAACACACACCAGACTTGTGCAGCAAAGCACGAGGCAGCTGAAGAATTGACGGAAAAGCTTCAGTGTGGCCTCTTACCAGCTGGATGTAATTGATTTTCTTCTGCTTGAGGAGCTGAATTGCCTGCTGTGCTTCTGGTTGCAAAGGAAAAGCCAGCCCCTGAAGAGTCTGGTGTTTGCTTTCCACGCTGATTTCAGTCTTGACCTGGCAACAGGAAAAAGAAAACAAGAGAAACAAACAAACACATAAATCAACAGAAACAAGGCCAAGGAAATTGGAGAAGTATGAAGAAGAGATACTGAAATGACAGCAAAGCACAAACCATGCTGTTGGTATTCAGGGCATTCACAAGCTTAAGAGTCCTTGAAGGAAGAAGAGCCTTTGCCATTGCAGGCAAGACCCTTGTATGAAGACCAAGATAAGGAGACCTGAAGGAGGTCAAACAATATATTACATGCAGTTGCATGTTCCTTTGCTAAAGGCTGTTTTCTAGGAGGTCTGCTGGAAAAGAGCTTTGGCGACAGATGTCCAAACAAGACAGAGAGAGACATTGCTTCTTCCTTTGCCCGCATTCTATTTACATACGCTCCCAGCTGCTTTCTCACATCCTCCCTAAGCACAAACTACAGTATTATGAGTTCCTGCCTATTTGTGGTGCCAGCTCAGTGTCTGACTCTCTCTCATGCAACGGTGGGCAGGGTGTGACATTCCAGATGTTGCTGGACTACAACTTCCACCATCTTTCATCACGGAATACGCTGGCTACGGCTGATGGCAGCTGCACTCTGGCATCCTTTGGAGGGATTTTTCTTCCTTCCACTCTCAACTCTATATTGCATCTCTACTGTAGGGTTTTTTTGTCAGAGAAGCAAATGAAAATGATGGTTGACACGGCTTGAGTTAAAAAAAATTAGCTGTGAGATACTGGTAAAAACAAAGGTATAGTCCCATTTGTCCCATAGGAGCCCCCAGTGGCAAATGGGTTAAACTCTTGTGCTGGCAGAACTACTGACAAAAAGGTCAGTGGTTTGAATCCAGGGAGTGGAGTGAGCTCCCATCTGTCAGCTCCAGCTTTCATGCAAGGATATGAGAGTAGCCTCCCATAGGATGGTAAAACATCCGCCTGTACGTCCTTGCAGACAGCAAATTCTCTCATACCAGAAGCGACTTGCAGTTTCTCAAGTTGCTCCTGACACAAAAAAAAGTTGTCCCATTGCTCTGTTTTGTTTTATAATTTTGTACCGTTTTTTTCTGTTGTATGTTATATGTGCACTCTGTAATGCCTTGCAAGCTGCCCCGAATCCCTTTGGGGAGATGGTGGTGGGATATAAATAAAGATGATGATGATTATTAATGCCTCACTAACTTATTTGATTTACTCTAGTTAGGACTAACTGTTGGACATAGCCCCAAATCCATAGCTACAAAGCTTACATCTTTCAGACCTTGTAGTTACGACTTTGCTTACACCAGGTAAAGAAAAGGCATGCCATCTCTTCCTTTCTTTTCATCAAGCATACTGTGTGTACAGGCCACCCTTCATATTTACAGTTTCTGAATCCACAGATTTAACCATTCATGGCTTGAAAATACTTCTTTAAAAAATATAAAAAGTAAATCTTGATTTTGCCCTTTTATGTAAGGGACACCACTTTAACTATGCCATTGTATATAATGAAACTTCAGCATTCACAGGTACTGATATCCACAGGGGTCCTGGATCCAAACATCAGCAGATATCAAGAATCCACTGTAATCCCTTTATAAGCCTCCAATTGAAAACAAAATGACAAAACTCTTTTTACTAGTTTTCTCAACCTCAAATCTTTCTTTATACATAGCCTCAGAGAAGTTTATTAGGAGGTGATTATTTCTATAAAGGGGGGAAACAGGGAGGTTTTTCTTTAAATGATGAATTGCTACATTCAAAGCTTTGTATCTTGAGGATTCAAGAAACATACCATCTTTAAAAATCTAGTCTTTTGATATAGTAATTCTGAAAATATCTCTTCAGTATCTGAAACCAAATGGAATAGCTTATATCCGAACTTTAAAAATGAAACTGAAAAAAGTATTCTGAAATAATAGTAGAAAAAAACAACCTTATAAGGCTTCAGATAGAATCACCAAAGGAGAAAAGAACGAGCTCATAGCTTTGTAATTTACATAGAAGCAATAAAATAAAATAAAATAGGTCACACGCTTCATTAAGTAACCATCAATATATCACTTTCATTCTTTATAACAGAATGAGTGGCTGAGTCCACTTCTCCCTAAGAGGCAGAAAGATAACTTTCCACTAAATGAAAAATTTGCATTTTGATTTCTTGTCTCGGTGATCAGAAGTAATTTCTGTTTCATACATTTCAAACCTCTGAAGTAGTCTTCATTGGCTATTAAATGGTTCCCTTTTTTGTACTGCTAATCATATTCCATTTCCACCCAGCTGAAAAGTATTAAAAGTAACAGGATAAAGATCCAGTCCGTAGAAAAATATATGAGTACCAAAATTTTGAAAGATGGATGGATTGTCTTAAAACAGTATTATGTAAAATATGTTAATGTAGTATTCATCATTTATGAGCTAGAGTAGAAATAGTACTAAACAAACTTATGTAAATATAGATTTTACTTGTAGCTCACTAGTGTAATAATTAGATACAGAACTATTACAAGCATGTGAACTCACTATAGTGAGTAGATGCAAAATTAGTAAAACTACTAAAAATGTGGTATGGTAGTAAAATTTGAACACATATTAACTATAGACTATTGAGTTAACTTGACAGTCATGGGCAAAAAGATGGATCATCTTTGAATAGGATAATTTGCTTTATAAAGCAAGGAAGTTCTGAGATGGGTAGATAAAATGACAATTCTCATAATGCAGTGTTTCTCAACCTGCGGGTCGGGACCTTTGGGGTGGGTTGCGAGGAGGTTTCAGTGGGATCGCCAAATATCATCAGAAAACACAGTATTTTCTGTTGGTCATGGGGGTTTTATGTGGGAAGTCTGGCCCAATTCTATCATTGGTGGGGTTCAGAATGCTCTTTGATTGTAGGTGAACTATAAATCCCATCAACAACTCCCAAAATGTCAAGATCTATTTTCCCCAAATTCCACCAGTGTTGAAATTTGGGCATATGGAGTATTTGTGCCAAGTTTGGTCCTGAGCCATCATTGTTTGAATCCATAGTGATGTCTGGATGTAGGTGAACTACAACTCCCAAACACAAGGTCAATGCCCACCAAACCCTTCTATGTTTTCTGTTGGTCATGGGAGTACTGTGTGCCAAGTTTGGTTTTAATTCCATTATTAGTGGAGTTCAGAATGCTCTTTGATTGTAGATTAACTATAAATCCCAGCAACTACCAAATAACAAAATCAATCCCCCCAACCCCACCAGTATCCAAATATATTCTGCATATCAGATATTTACATTACGATTCATAACAGTAGCAAAATTACAGTTATGCAGTAGCAACTAAAATAATTTTATGGTTGGGAGTCACCATAACACGAGGAACCGAATTAACGGCTCGTGGCATTAGGAGGGTTGAAAACTACTGTCATAATAATAGAAATAAAAGGTGCCCGACCCCCAGGATCTGTATTGGGTCTAAGCTACTGAACTTCTTTGAAAATGATCTGCAGCATTCAATGAACAGGAAGAAAGCGTTTTTGCAAATGATAATGAATTATTTCCGATAGTGAAAACCAGGTACAAAGAATTCTAGGATATCTACCAACAGTGTGATTGCTACATCTTATCTTCTTCTTTTTCTCCCTCCTTATGGTTTGCATTTTAATAAATCTTTTAGGAAAGATGAGAGCATGAGAGAGAGGAACACAGCAAAGGAAGTTCAGTATGAGTAAATGTTAAGTATCACATATTGGGGTAAAACTTCTAACAACAGGTAAACTGATGGGGTATGAATTTAGGTAAAGTAGGAAAGAGTTTTTCTGAATGGAAACATCAACTCTATATATAGCGATCATGAAAAAGGGAAGTGCAGCACTCACTATCATTAGGAAAAGACTGAAAATGAATTAGCTAACATAACAAAAGCCTTGTTGAAATTCATGACACTGCTTAGCAAGAGATAATGTGGTGAGAAACAAGTGTGAAGATGCAAGTGTGAACAAATCCACAGAGGAAGCACTGAGTATAGCTTCTTAGGGAACAATCGCAAGAAAGGCTTGCTATCTGTATTGTCCTGCTTGCTTGTTTTCTCTGGGCATCTAGCTTTACAGCTCCCTCTTGCCACATTGGCTAAGAGATTGTGGGAAGCGTAGTCCCAAAACTTTATATTTCTAAACTCTAGGCATAAAGTTGGCTATGATGAGAATGAGAAACTGAGCTAGTCTGATAATGCAAAACCCTTGTCATGTTCCTATCAGGATCTTCACTACTCCCATAGGCGTTGAAGTGCAAGAAAAGTGCATTCATTACCACAGCATCCAGTTGAAAACGGAGAAAGGAGCTGTGTTCAGATCATAGTCAGCACAGGGCAACGGAGGTTAGGAGCTGTATTTCTACTCGCCTGGTCTTAGTGTAGGATGCAAATGATGGCACCAACTCTTTTCCACATCACTGAAACTCAATGAACAGTATTTCTGTGTCAGTAATGAATTGGCTCTCTCCCAGGCTAAAGCCAAAGCAGTAATGGTGTCTGCAACTTTTGTATTGGGAGATCTGGACTTTATCCTATGAGACACAGGCAGAAAGTACAGTTTTTCCCAATTAAAAAAAATAGGAATGGTCTTGGACTAGTGAGAATAGCATTAGACTGGGATTTTTCATAGGCTGGATCCATTAAAATGGAACAGCAAGACATGACAATAACTGTGTGACTCTACACTTTTTTCTGTTTTCTACATTAAATCACAGAGGAGAGATTAGCATGTTTATTGGGATTTTTTTTTCACTTTTGGCACCAACAGAAGATTCCTTCCCAGAGATTAAAGAAGTTAGAAGGGTACAATGACAGATTATCCTTAGAGGAAAGAAGGAAGGAAACACATTAAACTAATATTCTACCCCATGCCCAGTTAAACAAGCCCAGTTGCCCCCCTACAGTCCTTATAGGCCACCATTTCATTGTAAGCAGTCACACTCTTCAAATGAAGATGGCAAGAATATCAAATAGCAGCTAGAACTATTTGGATGAGAAACCCACCAAAAGAGCATGCACTCATATTA